AGAGGAAAACTGAACTCCTGAGAAAAGCTGAATTGCTGACTTGTTCTGTTGGCAACTGTTGCAGGCAAGGGCAGAAAATTTAGCAATATGAGACAAAAGGATGGCACAGTAATGGACTTCAAACTCAATTCAGCAGTGAAAAAGGGGTGGGTGGGGGAAATCGTGCAGCCAAAAGTTAAATTGTTAAAACACATTAAATTGAATGAAAGAACCAAAATTGAAAAAAATTGTCTCCATTTTTGGTGTTACTTCAAATCCCTAATGAAAATAATCTCTACATGGTTTTTTGGTTGGTTGGTTGGTTTGGTTTTGAGCTGGTTTAGCTATTAGTTTTCATAGCTTTTCATTCCATGACCTAGAGAGAAATTAAATACTAATATCCCAGGTTATACAAGTTTTTGTTATCCCAAAGCCCCAAATCTAAATTATTTATTTTTTCAATGTATATTCAGAGAAGTCTAGACTCAAGTGAGAAACAAATAAAATACTTGTATAAAATGAATATTTTTTTTAATTAACATAAAAACTTCAAAAACACAACTATATTCCATCAAAGAGACAGAATAAAGTAAAGAATTGTATTTGCCAACTACACTAGCAATTTTTTCTACTCTTTTGTTGGGTTGTTTTTTGGTTTTTTTTTTTTTAGTTAGCATTCTACAACATTTGGATCTACTGAGTAAAGAAAGGACTCTGCAGTTATACTGCAGTGTAACTTGAATTAGCAATACCTGACCCGGGAGTACTACCATTTGTGCTAAATTTTACTTCCTCGTTCTGCAAAAATTAGTAGAACTTTAAGATAAAAAATTTTTAAAGTTAGGTCAACTTTTAGTCAAAAAAATTATTAAAATAATTACATTTCTAAAACTGTTTTAGAACGAGGAAGAAATATGTTTTTTTATAAAATTGACATGCATTGTCTAGAAAGACTGGTTATTACAGAAGAAAAACAATTTTATAGGTTAAAAAAAAAAATCGCACTAAAACAGCACAAAAGAGAAGGAAATGTTAGGTACCATTATTCCAAATTCTCAAAATCCAATAAAGTTAATAAAATGTCACAGTAACCTTTCCTTAAAGTTGTATCTAACAATTTCCTCAACTTTTAGACATGATGTGTCTTTTTTCAGGATTGAAGATCAAAATGATTTCCTATGTTCCTCAAAGAAATATGAAAGATCCAGTTGTACCCGAAACATTTAAAATCCTTCCCACTATGTTTCAGGCAGTAACACACTGCAATACAGTCTTTCATCTATTTCTGCAAGGCATCCTTTTGAGGTGACAATATTGCAGAACAAATAGAGACACATGGCCTGTAGCATCAGTAATTTCAGCTAAAACCAGCTCTCAAATTTAGTTGTCCCCTCTTTCATCTGTGAGATTAAAGGCAAAGGGTAATTGCCCAAGAGATCAGACTGTACAGCAGGTTTTGAATGCACAGAGACAGAATAAGCAGTCTTAATGCTTTTTAATGGTTCTTCCCTCAGCATTTTGATAACTGGAAGCCAACAGACAATGAACAAAATGACATTACTTCGGTAAATATGCAAACATTTCAGAAGCTCTTATTGCTTTAGAGCAATTCTAACTGTTCAGATGTTGGCAGAATTAATTATCACTACAATACTTAATGATACAGAAATATCTGCTGCCAGTTGTCTTTAAAGAGCAACACAAATTTAAATTTAGTAATGAACCACAAAAAAGAATGAGAAAACTGTGCAAGCATTCCAGTGAATACAGAATAAATAATCTTTTAAAGAAACAAGTAACTTTGTTTGTAAAGAAACAAGTATTTTGTAGAATTTATAATATAGAATTGTAGTGGATGAGTGTTCCCTGCCACCTCCCATATCTAGGTAAATAAAAAACTAAATACTTTTGCATGTTACATATGTTTTCCTACACAAAGTCTTGTAAAAATACTGGTATTTTTTTCCATCTGTCTGATTTTTACATGGTGTTTAGTTCTGGGGTGGATTTTTTACCTTTCTGTTCCTATGAAACCAAAACCAATTTATAGTCAGAATAAAAAAAATAACTAAATAACATTATTTCACACCTTTAACGATACCACAACACACACAAAATATTTAAAAATTATGGTAAAACAAATTATAAATGAAAAATTAAAGTTTTATGTTAAATGTTCCTTGCAAAATGTATGTATGTTATTTTTTAAATACCTTCATAAGCCATTTAGTGTTTTCACATTATCTAGTTCCAGAAAACATGAAAAACAATGTTGGAACAGAACAGATGAATCCGTTTTAGATATACTTTAGACATGTTTATTTTTAAAAGAAAAGCAGACAAAATACTTCTGAAATATTTGAATAAAACAGTCAAAGAGCATTTAAATACCAATAATTCAAACTCAGTAAAGTTTTACTAAACACATTTAAAAGCAATCCAACTACTAAATTATAAATAAACCCTCTCAAACACTTTTTTAAATGCAAAAACATTAAACACAGTTGATAGAAATACATCTGGAAATAAACTCTTAAGTCACAGTATCACTTATTTCTTCATATTATTCAATACTGTTTTACCTAATGTAGAGTTTTATCTGTAAGACTTTTTATTACATTCTTTGCTCCTTTGCCTAGCACTCATCACCATACAGTTTATTATCCCCACATTTTTATTCACAGTTTTAAAAATAAGAATTTAGTAGCACAGAATCCCAACACTCTGTGGGAATTATAGCAGCAACATTTAAAGGTTAAAGGTCAAAGGAATGTGACAAAGGCCATATATATCTGTAACAATCCACATCCACATTATCCTAACTGTCATCATCATCACTACTATTGTGAGTCATAGTCCACTCTTTGTAGGCCTGTCTTTTCTGAAAGCATGGTAAGGGAAGAAGAAAGCAGAAGTATTAGTTTAGAAGTAATGATTTGTCCAGAAAGTTTGTTAATTAAAGCAAAATAAAATCCCAGAAAACAAAGAAATTCTGAAGTGACATCCTAGTTTAGGATGCAGTATGAGCGCATGAAATAACCTATATCCTATTTCCTTTAATCAGCATATTCAATCTCTAAATTGCTAAAAGAAGTTTTACTCTAACCTAACCCTGTAATCTGTTGAAAAGCTACAATACAGTGACTGAAGTGGGACCAGTTACCAGACCTTTATGCAAAGAAACAATGCAAAAGGGAAGAATAATTATTTTCCCCATAAGAAAATACTACTCTATTCAAACTGTTTCAAATAGGGAACATGCAATCCACTGAGTTCCATGCAAAACAAAGTAACAGCTCTGGAACCACAAACATTAAGAATCAAAAACATTAGTATGCTTGAGAGTTAAATTAAGATTAAGACACCAAACATCCTATAGCAGAATTTAATGTGTGGGAAAAAACAATACTACTTTCTGATCTGACTGTCTACAGGGAGAATTATAACCCTGCATGGAGCTTTGAAAACATTTCTTCAAGAGCAGTTGGAACCATACTAGTGAAAACTGATATGAAACAACAATTTTTCAAGTTCAGTTATTTTCAAATGGTGGCTACCATCACAAAATATAAAAGAGAACACACAGGGCCGTGTTTTAATGTTTTTGTAAGTTAGATAATGGAAGGTGGTGGTACTGTACTCGACCATACAACACCGAAAAATTAGAATTACGTATTATATTGCAAAATTTTGTAAAGGTTTCTCAGGAAAAAAAAACAAAATACAAACATGTACAAATTTAAGAAGGAAAAGCAGTGTACAGTAATGAGACAAGTCTGCACATTAGAGTTGACTCTGTTGTTTGTGAGCCTTTGTTTTAGTGGTACACTTTAAAACAGAAAAGAGGATGCTTTGAAATTTATTTTCTTACCAAAACCAAAAAGATTAGTAACAAATTTATGCCGTTCATCAGTAGTAGTTTCTAACTATCCTCTAGTTAAGGCAAAACTGCTTTATGGCACTAGCTTTAAATTGGAGAGCACAAGTTAAAGCTACCTCCTTAGAAGAAAGGCAGAGGCATAATATTATCAAAGACCTTTCATAGTCTGCTGAACTAGATCACCAGTGAACGGTATAGTGAACACAGCTAAGGTGCTACAAATAGGGCAGTCCTCTTCCACCAGAAATGAGAGACAAACTGATGAAATGCAGAAGAAACAAAAACAAGAGTGGAACTTGACATAAAACAAACAGCTATGGCAGTACTCAAAGTGAGTCAAAATGCTCTTCCAAACGCTACTTCATTCTTACCTACTTCTCCTAAAAGGTTATTTCTGTATGACATTTTCATGGCACACTGTGAATCCTTTTATGTGTATTTTTAAAATTCTGTTTAGATTCAGGCAATCAATAATTACTGCTTTATTTCTTATGCCTGAACATTTCTAAAAAGCAGAGGAAAAAACAAACTCTGTAAGCTGTGTGTGTCACAATTGAAATTATTTCTCAAATTTCCTTAAGAGGCAGATGAATCATTAAAGAATAACTGCTGCTTAGCATGTTCTTCATGCAAACAGTATTCCACTTCAGAACTGTTTAGGTTCTTTCATGGTTTTAGTATGACACAAGTACAGCTATTCCCAGGTTCTTTAAAATGTTGTTTTACATAAAATTGAGATTTAAAAGTCACTGTTTAAAATATGTATTGTAAAATTACTGAAAAAGTATCTGTACTTATCATCGCTGTTTATAAAAAAATGAAATTTAAAGGCATAAAACTTTTTAATTGCACATTTAAACTTTGTTCTTCTTTCAAAATGCACTGTATCTTGCACAAACTGCTATAGATATACTGATAGACACTATGGTGTCTTCCTCAAGAGTTGTATCACAGCAGCAAGTGTATCACAGTTGTATCCCTAAAGTGGGCATACGCCTAAGAAATTAAATGAAACTTCTTGACTATTGAGTTACTAGGTATGGGCAGACTGGGAATTTAGGAAATGGGAAATTCTAAAATATTTATTTTAATGTAAGATGAGTTTAAATGTATGTCAATCTATCTCTCATTTTTCCTTCACCTGTAACATTTGACTTCCAGTTCCATCTCTTAATCTGTAAGGTCTAATAACTCCATCTTCACCAAAGAAGCGAGGTGGGCGCAGGCTTATCACATCATCTGATGAATCTGCAACTCTGACAATAAAACAGATTACTTCAGATATGTATCAATATCTCTACTCAGCTATAATATTTAGCTAAGGCTCTAAATTATTTCATATACAAATTAAACTCAAGTCCTAGTACAGCAACTGTTATTGTCTATATATGTACTTCTGCAAAGAAGTAGACATCCTGTGAAAGAGTAACAGACTCAGAAATCTGTTTCAGAGAATCATTATTAGCAAACTAGATGGCACAGGACAGCACATGCCTGTAATACGTAATTAGTGTCTAAGCATTGTACTTCAAATCTTCAAAATTAAAGACAACTGTAAAATACAGAACTTCCACTCTGATATGTTTCTTGCATTTCTCTGCTAAAGAGTTTAAAGTGGAAAACAAAAGAGACTGGCACTCTTATGGTAGCAAAAGTGACCTAACTCACTAAGAACAGAGCCATTGAACTGCCGTATTCAGACAAAGTTACTAAATGCCTCCTCAAAACTGTTTCCTACTTCTTTATACATTACAGTGTGAGATAATCTTCAGCAATGAATTCATTAAAGTGAGAATACCAAGTATTCAAATGCAGTCTTAACACAGTTCTCAGTCTGAACGACCATGACAGATCCTAGCATAATCTGGTGGTCTTGGAACTCATCTCATACAATAGTAATAATATATAAAGTAACTTTAGATTCATCTGAGAAGTCTTTTTTATCTCCTTATTTTGGGTAGAAGTTAAAAATCAGCAATTGAAGGAAATCCAATCATGAAGGCTTTTAAAACTAGTTTTTCAGTAATGCGAGAAATACCTGAGATTTGTGGCTATTTTTTAAATGCTGTCAACTGTGTATTTTGTTAAAGAGCCACCTATTTATTATGTAAATAACACAGAAGTGATAGGAAGACACAATGTACTACTGGTACTACTGTCTGTTTCATGCCATATGTTATCCTGTAGACTTATTTTACTTACTTTTTAATACCCTGAAATGTGCTGCTTGCCATGTCTATGATTCCACCAGTAGGCCTAGCTACTGCTCCCACTAAGCCTTTTCCGACACCTTTGAAAAAACCAGCTGCTCCTTCTTCCTGAGCTCCTAAAAGCATTAAGAGCAATAAATCATTGTAAGACACTGAGTTTTTCTTACAATCGTAGCAAACTTTATTACTATTTAAATACAACTCTTATTTGATACACAACTACACAGTCTCCATCCGGAGTTCATATAAACAACAGGAATATAAAATCAGCAGGAATATAAAATCTGAGTTTTATATCTCAGACTTATAATATCTCATCAAATATGAAGAATTTACCATGATGTGAACAGTTAATGAAACAAGACCCAAACTTACCTCTTATTGGTTTTGTAACTATTCCTGTTATGCCACTGACAAAACCCTACCAAGATAAACAAAAGAGACATTACCAAAAGGCTTCCAGGTAATATTTTTCATTTTTAGCATTTTTCTTTCTATTTCATTGATGAATAGGCTCAAAGTACATGAGTTGGGAGTATTCTAAAATTCACTCCGAGCTAATAGAATTAGAGGCACATGCTTCACAATTTCTACCTTCTCTCCTACCCTCTTACATTTTTCTTTAAAACTATGACTCAATTGAGGCTATGTATTTGCAAAACCACAATTAAAACTTAACAAAAACCTAACTAACTAAAAAAAATTCAAAACTAACCACTCTGGTGACTACAACAAGCCCCTTGTTACTTTTGCCCACATAAAATTAATTGTATTTTTTTTCCTCCTTACAGAAACTAATCCTTTTCCACCACGAGTGATACCCTCTCTCAGACCAGTGGGCTGTTTATTCATAGCTTCTCTCCTTTTTTGCTGGTAATCCTCATCCATGGTTATTGCAGCTACTCCTTTTGCCATAGCACCTGTGATTCTTGAGGCAGCACCTGCTAATCCACCTATTGGAATACAAATCAAATTAAAATTCCAATGCAATTTACAAATACTCAACTCTATTGCTGACTATTAAGCAAACTACCATCACAATGCTGAAACTTACCAACAGCTCCCCCTACTAGTGCTTTAAGTCCTAGTGCCATTCCTTCTATAAATTCCTCAGGACCCTGGATGGCTCCCTATGAGAAAAAAAGTGACATATTTATGATAAGCTTCAAATAGTATGCATTATATATTTTTAAATCTTGCTTTTTTATTGGGATTTATATGCAACAAAGAGAACAAGAAGATAAGACTGAGCAAAAAGTGTGAAAGTGCCCACAAAAGCCCCTGTGAGAGAATGACAGACTATTTTAGAATACTAATTAATTTCCTGAATTCTGCTTATTTTAAGGTGAAGTAAAGTAAGAACCGTAAGGAACGGTCATTTGTGAGTTAAGTTAGATGGACTTCCCTCTCTTGATCTCACTTGAGTTTTCCAGGCACTTTCACTTGAAATGTTGAATTCTAAATCTAAATTTAAAACCTGAACAGGTATTAATATAGATTTTCAATACAATTCCTATCTATTTACTTCTACACTACATTTCATAAAAAGGCAGCAGAGATTTTTACCTGGTATGGTTCATAGAAGAATGCTTCTACTCCTTCAGACAAGCCTCTTATGAATCCGAAGGGATTACCCAAGACATCAAGGCCAAGAATAAGAACATACATCTGTTTAATAGCCTAAAATAAAGAGTTTTTAGTTAAATATTTCCTAAATTACACTGAAACAAAGGCAAACAGTGTAGTTTAGAAAACTACAGATTAGAAACAGTGAAAGAAACATTTGTTTAATATAAAAACCACAAAATTACTTGGAAAAGTAGTAGTTGTACTAAAATCAGTCAGTAAACCACACTAAGTCAGTCAAAGAAACAATAATACTTAAAAGCATTTCAGCAGTAACTGTTGTTAAAGTTACTGAGATTTTACAAAGCCAACATGTTACATAGATTTCTCTCATACAACAGGACAAACTATGGTCTCTTTGTATATGCTAAGAAAATTTTGTTGATAGTCGCTGCAAAATGTTGTAACTGCATCTATATGAAGTGTAATTTGTTCTAAAAAAAAAGGTTGCACGTCTCCTAAACGCCAAATTTTCCCCCTGTGAAAAGTAAGGGAAAGAGAACAAGAGATAACTCATTTCCCCAGTCAAAATACTGTATTGATTTTTTCTCCTTTAAAGATGGACAGAGCACTAAACTAAAATGTCCCAAGAATCCCTTATTATCAATGGTCGATGGATACAAGATGATGACTTCTTTCATGCACAAGTGTGTGTGTTGGATTCTCTCCACTGGATGACAGGACTTCAACAGTATACAAAAGCCAAGAAGGAAGCAAAATTCATATGCTACTAATGTCCAAGAAAAAGCATTAATATTTTCATGCTAATTATGTTCTATCAGAGCTGCATTGTGTTTGCTTCCCCTACCCATTCCAGCAAGCTGCATTGTTGTCTATGTCACTTCTCCCCAGTAAAAAGGAAGTAAAATTTAAATAAGTAATTGTTTCATATGTGTTTATTTTACCTTTGTACTTAGAAATAAGTAATTTTACTCAGTTTCACAGAACAAAAACACAGAGTAACACTTGCAAAATATAAATTTACTGGAATATTCTAACCTGTTTCGAATAATGTTTTACAACTGCTGATTGGAGCTGTTGTGTAGTACAGAAGTGATATCTGAGTTCAAAGAACGACAACCTAAAAAAACAGGAAAGAGAAAAAGTAAATCCTTATTATGCAGAGCAAAATAAAATCTAACATAATATTGGTATAATCTTTGGGAGTGATCTTTACAATCACATTTTTAACCTACTTAAAAACAATATCTTGTACATCTGTGAGGGTGGCCCCTATACTCTTCAGCAGGAGATTCAAGGACTGAAGTGGTATCAGTTCATTCTTTCCTTCTTCTTTATTACTATCTTCTCCACCCGTACTGAGTGAAAAGCTTAAGTGTAACTAAAGGATAAAAATGAGATGGGGAAATAACAAGGTTCATTATTAAAAATATTATATTTCTACCTTTATAATATTTTAGATTATTTAAAAATTGAGTTAAGACATTCCTGGTCTTGACTGAAAGCAGTAACTTTGTAACAGAGTACATAAATACACCATGTAGGCCAAAAAAACCCCACTGACAAAAAGCCAAACTGAGTAATTCAAACTACCTTTAAGAAAACAGGAAATAGAAACTGCTTATTCATGTTTTCAGAGAAGGTCTCCAGATTCTTTTAGCTTTAATTTAGGTTTTTAGCTTGTTTCCAAAATATTAGGTTTCTGTAAGTTATACCCAAAATCAAAGCAGATAGAAAATGATAACATAGCATGATGTCCAAGCAAGAGTGTAAAACAAAAGCTTGAAAACAAATAATTACTAACACAAGTTTTACAGGTGCTAAATAAACACTGGAATATGTATACAAGAAAAATCCCACCTGTGCACACCTGAAATAATCAAATTATTTGTTTCACAGAAATTAAGACAGTCTCAAAACAAAAACATTCAGGAAAATTGCTCAAATGGCTCTACAGTGCACAAATGTATTCAGCAGTGTTCCAAATCAGATTAGAAGAAGTTATGTCTGTTGCTGATTCTCTGAAGACAATATCATGTGCCACTCATTAATTTATGTTATAACACAGCTTAACTATAGCTCATTTCAATGATACACAGCCCATCATTTAATTTTTAATCATTAAAGACTAATCCTTTATTAGAACCTGAAGCCCATTCATTCCATCCTATTTCCTCTATGCAATTTTTCTTGTCCAATGTAATTTCTAAGATCTCACCAGATACTGCAAAGAGGTGAAACTAAAATAATTCCTTTATTTATTTCCTATGAGATGGAGATGAAATTCTCTTAAGTACTGCTATAGAACCTATAAGATACTATCACAGCTTTAACAGTGTTTGTTACCCTGGCTGTACATGTTATTCAGAAATTACTTAAATCTCCAATCCACAACACACTGTCTGCACACAAACTAGAGAATTTTTCAGGGAAATCTTACATAATAAAAAGAAAAATCATTACTCATTATAAAGGAAGTAATGGATAGGAATGAAATACTAAGGTAGTGGTAACAATGAAAGCACTTTCCTGGGACTTTTTGTTTTGATCACCTCTATATGTCTTCATTTCCAGTGCCTATTATCCTGTAGGAGACAAATCTTCAGAGAGTAAACACACATTGTAATGTGAAAAAGGACTACCTTAATTGGAGAGATATGAAAGTATTCATACAAGCTGATTTGTGATGTATCCATTGATGACACACTCATCAGTTCTTCTTGAAGACATTCAACATCCTTTTTGAAATGTTGTATCTGTAAATGCATTTCAAATGAATATTACTTCAAAAGTTGGAATATATTAAACTAGCATGCATTTGTCACTGAGACACAATACATTGACTAATACTGCTTATACTCTCCTTTGTACAAATTCCTCTCATTTACCCTGTACTGTAAGGTTTTGAAGCCTTCTTTCCATAGCATTCAAGATGAAGATAAAGGAAAGAGTTTACTATCTGTCTCAGGCAACAGTAATTAAAAAACTCACAGCTTCATATCAATCCTAGACACACAGCAATTAACCATTGTTACGGACACAGAAAACCTTTTTTTTTTAATACAATTTGACTAATTACAACTTTAAAATCTATTTCTCTTCAAACAACAAAAGGTCTCTACCTCTGGGTCACTTGGCAAATCAGTCCGTGTAAACAACGCAACAAGTGCATACAGGAAGCCGAGATCTAATCTGAGATCCATCTCTTGAATCAGGACCTTAAAATACCTATAAAATAAAAAAAAATATTAAGGATTCTACAGAAATGTGTAACACTTAATACAGGATATTTAGGTCACTTGTATTAATGTATTAATGTATTAATGTATTAATTTCAGGTATAGGTTTTATAGCGGCTTTTTCTGGTGTGGGGCTTTTTTGTAATATTTTGTTGTTGTTTTCTTTTTTGTTTTGGTTTGGGTTTTTTTGAGGGATTCATCATTACTGGTGAAAAGAAGGCCTCCCACAGAGGTGTAAGATAAACACATTTCTGGTAAACAGAACCATCTTAATCACGTAGTGGCATTTAACACTCTACATACCACCACTAAACAGATTTTTTTTCTAAATTAAAGAAGACTAAAATCTGCATTAAAAAGACACCTAAAAATCCTTGCTTTGCTCTGCAATTATGGGGATAGCAAAAGGCATTGAGCTTTTATCTCTCTTAAAGTGCTCCGATCTTTCCAAGAATGAGTTGGCGCTAAAATTAACATTCATTATGTTTGCCTCTATAATAATTTTAATTTTAAAGCTTGATTAAACATAATCAATAGCAGAAGAGATGTAACATGTCAAAATACTTACTTAATATGAGATATTTGTGAATGTCCTGCAGTTCTCATGACAATACTGACGTCAGTAAATGGTTTTGGTGCTATGAAGTTGTAAAACAAAAAGAGATCAGCACAGACTGTCATACGTTATACATAACTTTATAGTTTTAATATGAAAATGTCATATACATTCAGAGTTTTTTCAATCCTGTAAAGCAGGATTACATAATGGATATGACTGGCAAACAACTAAGTCAGGGAAAAGAGCAGGAACAAAAAGGAATGGGAAGGCAAAGATGAAATGGAACATCAAAATGCTATTTCACTGACCTCTTAAAATGCACCATTTTCATTTAAAAGCAAATTAATACTGATATAATCTTAGATTTATATAATTTCCTTCGTTATGGAATAAGATTTTCCAATTGCTGATACAAAGATACACACTAAACAACTACAAAAAAAACCAACCAAAAACCAAAATAGAAGAAAAAAATAACAAAACGAAAAATCAAACAACAAAAAACCCCAAACAAACAAAAAAACCCAGAACCGAACAAAAAATTCTGCAGATTTATGCACTGTAGCTTGAAACTGATCATATTGAGAATGAACACCTGACATCCTATTAGCTTCTGCAAAAAATTAAAGCATTATTTTTTGTCTCAATCCACAATCCCTTTTGATATTCCTCAGATCTTTCAAGTGAATTTGGTATGAAAAATTTAATGAAAGACATCAGTTCATCACATAGTAGAGAGACACTGCAAGCAATGTCACTATGCTCCAAGCAATGGAGAAGTCGGAAGGCTAAATACAAACCAGACAAAATATAATTTTCCATCTACAGAGTTTATAAATAATTTTGAGTTTAGACATTTCTTTTCCTATTAGTTAAGGTTATTTCAGATAGGTCACTAGGTCATGTACTGCATGATTAAGATATTGAAGCAATAGGGAAATAATGGAAGACTAAAGATTCACTAAAGTCAATCCTCAATGCCCCACAACTCGAAATGCAACCAAGACAGAAACAGTGCACCAGATTCGCTATCATCAACATTAACAAGAAATCTATCTTTTCTTATTTTCAGCAGACAACTCTTCTCGTATATTAGTCAGCATTAAGTTTTAGCTGTGGTCTGAATGCAACTACCAAAACCTCATTTTAAGCCTGATTTGAGCATAACTTTCATGCTTATGCTCTCCAAAAGCAATGAATTAGCGTGCCAAAAAATGTGCTTAAAAGCTAAGATATTGATGGATAAAGGAAATTTTTTTTTCTTCTGACTGTTAACTGTTGAAATGGTTTTCTGTGTATCTTCTTTGTAGACACAACTGCTTCCTTATCTCCAACATTAGTATTTGTGCTGTTATCTGTAGTCAGAAGGCTCAGACAGACTTCATCTGATAGAAGTGACATGGTTAACTTCAGTACAAATAAGTTATTTTGTCTTTTTAAATGGATTATGTTAAACTAGAACAACAAACCTGAATCCAAGGTGATGGACTTTGGAGGTTTAATAGGATAGAACACAAAGGGAAATATGGCTCCAGGAATCTGGTTTTGTATCTATTAGAGGGGTAAGGACAGGACAAGGTGCAGCACGTTAGCTTTTCAATAGTGAAATACTTTAAAATCAGGACAAACAAAAGAATTATGAACATTACCAGCAGTCTTCCACCAAACTGAAAACAGAAAGAAAGCTACTATCGTGCTTACAAATATATCTATTTTAAAAATTTAATAATCCAATTCAAATAGTTTAGAAAAGCTTCTGTAAGTTGGTGGTCCACAAAATGAAGTACATGGTCCAAAAAATTTTTACAAAGGATTTGTTTTAAAAAACTTGAGCATAACAAGAAAAGAAACCGCACATATCTTTTTGCTGGTTACAAAGAAAAGCTCCAAGAAAAAGCACGGAAGATGAATGGCAAATGTTTTTTTCTGAACAGTCATAGTTATCTTTTTTCTTTTTCCTAGAGGCATTTAAGTAGTATTCCAAAGATTGAGAACCTGATGTAAAAGCCAATGATTACAAATAAATTGAAAACATGAGAAATTCAAACAATTCTAAAAATGAATCCAAGTTTCTATAAAAGTTGTTTTTTCTGAATAAGTAATTCACTACTTTCTGACAAGACTCACCTGTATCCTGTAAATTTGAATTCTGAAAGACTTCTGATGTGCAGACGAACTGTATTCCACTTTTAAAGCTGGCAGATAATTCCTTCTGATAGGAATTTCATTTGGTTGTTGAATTTTCATGTCCATTCCATTAGGAGTTAAACATACCTATTGTAATATTACAGAAAATTTGGTATGCTGTTTTAAAATACTGCTTTTTATAATATACTTAGAAATTTTGTCACAAATTTCAATAGAAATAAAATTACAAAATCCTACATTATTTGGGAGTTACTAGCATTTAATACACATCTTTCTAGAGGAAAAGCTGAGTAGTATAATGGTCTATGACTGAGATAAATATTGGTTTTACTTATGCAATGTTTATTTTCCGATAACACATTTCTGAGGAGCATCTAAGAATTTTTCTATAGAAGAGGACTGAGCATTTGGAGTATAATGTGCTTCAACATTCCAGAATAATTTCTGAAATTATTTTTCAATTATATGTGGTTGAATGACAGTTGAATTATCCCATAATAAGCCATCTTAAAAATAGAAGATTTTATGCTAAAACAAACAAACTAATCCCAAACTAATACATTTACTGGTATAATACATAAACCAAGTGCAAAGCTTCCTTACTGTAGTTTTATGAATATTTAGTATCAAGACCTGCAAAAATGTTATACCTCAATTTCAAAGTTAGAGGCTAACAACAAAAAGGAAGCTTTCAAATGTTTGTGGATTTCCTTCCAAATTTTTTTAAAGACAGAGATGAAGAAGGATATTCAAATGGATTGCGTAAATTGATATATCTCAAATTTCACTGGAAGTCAGCCAAATTGATATATGATCTTTTTCTAGCGTATACATACAAACAAAAGAATTAGAGAACTATCAGTAATACCAAAACATTTGATTCCAACTCAATAATCTTATTTTCTGAAGGACTCAGCTCACTGTAGTCTTTGAATTCTTGTTCTAATTTTTCAATTTGCTTAACACTCATTGGTCTCCACCTTGACTTCTTCTTCGGTTTTGTCTCCCAAACCACATCAGAACTTTGAAAACAAAACAAAGGACCAAAAGAGATGTATTAGCCATTTCAAAACACGTTTCAGCTACTGTAGCATCACTTTTAATAGGCTGTAACTGGGGAATGAAAAACAACATCATAAAGCACTACTGTAGTAAATAAAAGGGACCCAAATCACCCACTGCCTTCTTGGTACTAAGCAGAAGCCAGTCTCTCCAATATGATACAAAAAAGAAAAGTTAATGAGTCAGTATAATTCCATACTTCGATGAAGACAGGTATGTAATGATATTTAAGGAAGCTCAGTTGCAACAGCACTGCCATCCATTATTGTACAATCTCAATGTATTTTTCTGCTTATACTCCTGCATGTATTTTGGCACTTTAAATTTACTACAAATCGAGAAGTTTAAGTCAAGACAAAACACCTCCTGAACTGCCTCTAATTTTTGATAGATTGTTTCTTCACTCATTCCATCTAAATCAATTGATGGTGACTTTGGTTCACATGTTTCCTCTACCGATTTTATGGTGGGGGGTTTGGTTTTGTTGCTTGTTTGGGCTTTTTTTTTAAAAGTTATCTCTAAATCAATTCTTTTCTTTTGTCTCTGAGTTTTATTAATACAAATAATTAACCAACTTTAAAGGGCATTGGACTCTTTTCCACTGCTTCTATGAGAAACTATTGTGTCTAATTTCATCTTACAGTCACTCAATCACAGAATCAGCTGGGTTGGAAAGGACCTCCGACATCATCAAGTCTGGCATAAAACAAGGGAGAAATCAACACTGCCAGGCAGGTGCAGGATGTTTACTCTTTCCACAGATATGCAGCTTTTGAGACAGTCCACTAAACCCTTTTAGCTACATCTGTGTCTGTGTTCAGACACATCAATGGCAGAACCACCAAAATAAAAAAGTGAGCTAAAACACAAAACAACAGCTACAAAACAGAGTAACGCCTTGAAGTTGCTAGGGAGTTTTCCCCACTTTTTTTTGTTCCTTGTCTTTTTTTTTCTTTTTGTTCCTCCTAAAAAAGGAAGCTCAATTTCAGTACTGCCATCCATTTCCCCGGAGCTTGATATCCATTCAGGGTTTGACAAGAAAACAATACCAACTATAAGCATTGCTAGACCACTGACTATGGATGACTTCTTCCAAAAACACCAACACCAAAAAAATCTCAACACTACTATGAATCTAGGCAATCAGATGTCACTTTTAATGGAGTGTTTCCACTGTTTAGACATCAGAGCACAGTTTCTCAAGGTGAGGGCACAGACTGGAATTTTCTTTGTAAATGACAGACGTGACTGTGTGAAGTATATGTATATAAGAAGTTTTTGCTTGTTTATTTTACAGTGCAGTGAAAAAAATTAATCAAGAAAAAACAACCCTCACTCTTGCAACCTCGTGGCTGTGAATATACAGGAATGTGTAGATTATGGCAATGATATGTAAGTGTCCCTTAACATTCTAAAGAGCCTCTGTTTAAGAAATGTGTGCTATCATATATTCAAACATTATATAATTTCTTTTCTGCTTCCTTCTGAAATTTTTTCTTAGGAAATCTAAGTATTAGTGCTCTGGATCACCATAATTTATCAATCAAAACTAAAGAGACCTATAAGCTGCTACTGCGTCAAAATTTCCAACACAGAATTCAGCAACTGTTCCTGTAGTGAAGATAGAAAAATCCACTGACACAAACTAACCACAGACCTTACAGCTTGAAATTCTATTATCACTTGCCAAACTACATGAACAGGAAATACTTCTGTTCAGTGTACTGGGAAGTTTGCCACACAGAGTTACAAATATATATTCCAAAAATACACAGATACAGAAAGTATATGCATTAACATAAAACAGTGAAAACATTTCTCCTGACCAGGAAAATAGAGTGATTTAGTTCTAAATACTCTTAACCTAAATCTCTTGTTCCTCTTCCATCACAACCCAAAATAAAACTCACAGAGTGAAAATACCCAAAGTTAAACATTTTAAACCACAGCACACAAAGTAAATTACCTTGTAATTCCAATGTAGGACACCTCTTGTTTTAAGTAATTATCAACCAGTGAAATTCCAACATCTTGCAAAGACAGAATAATTTCTTGTTCTGCTAGTTCTGCTTTTACACTTTCATATGTCAATTTAAACACATTCTCATCTTCAGTGATCAGGACAATACGCTGCAAACCTTCATAAAATGACATTAAATAGACAGCTTTTCTGCAATCCACTCTGAGTATTTCCATTTTGTCCTACAAACAAGAGAGGAAATGTTTTTAGAACTCTATTCATCATTTTACTCCACAAACGAATGCATACATCTTGGCAACATAAAAAATAATAGAAGACATTTTTAAGGTGCAGGAAAAAATTAACTATGACATTTTACAAGAGGCTAACACAAACACACACTTTTCAACTGAAGACAACGCTTACTGGCACAAGCTCTGGCAAATACGGTGTTGGTACTGTTCTGTGTCTGAAACTCATATATGAGACTCCTAATCATACTCATTAAATATGAAGTTTCATACATACACTGATGAACAGGACAATAAATTAGACACCACTAGAAGGAGATTTCAATAATAAGCATACCTCTTTTGGAGAAATTTCCTCGGTTCTATTTCCACATTTCCATGTCAATTTCCTAGATCCTGCTGGGTCTGCCCAAGTATACAGTACTGCCTTATTGGGCTGAAGGCAGTCTTCCAATTCACTAAGGGAGCTAGAACAAAGTAATTTTAAATTCAAATGTCAACAAATATTTTGTGTTAATGACTTTCGCATTCTAGCATTTCAACAAGAACATTTTACTTATATTTTCAAATAATAAAAATGAAAACTAAAAATAGCATTACGCATGAAAAAACATGAACAAAACCATGCTCAGGACAGTTATAAAAACACGCATTTATACTTCGAAATACATACATATATTTTAAAAATATACACAGTAGACTTTAAATACTCATTTTCTTTCCCACTTTGATTAACGGGGAAAAATAAAGTAGAAAAAAATTCCAGACAGTAGAGTTTAAACACTGAAAGGAAAACTCAGGATTTGTGTCGCCTACCATTAATATTTCAAGATAAGAAATGTGGGTTCAAAATTCATTGTTTAGGAAAAGTTTCCCCCTATGATTTGCTGAAGAGAAAGAAGTGCAGTGTTTAGTATCTGGATATTTTCGTGCAAACATATTTTAAAATCCATTTCCCCTCACATACAGTTAAAAACTGGCAGACTTGTCTTCTACTGATGTCTAAAAGGGGGCTACCCCAGGAGAGGTAGTGGAAGGGTGCTGATCTCTTCTTGCTGGGATCCAGTGATTGGACACATAGGAATGGTTCAAAGCTGTGCCACGGGAGGTTTAGACTAGACATTAGGAAGCTTTTCTTTACTGTAAGAATGGTAAAATGCATAAGAACAGGTTTCCTTTAGAGTCAATGTCCCAAGCCCATCATTCAGCAAAGCCCTTAATAACATGCTTTTACTTTTGGAACTGAAATATGCTACTCTATTCTCATTAAATTTATGATAAGGATGCCCAAAATTCAGCTAGGAAGATAAAAATTTCTAGTCTTTATAGATAAAAGCCAAAGCAAACAACTGTATTTTTCAGACAAACAGGAAACAAACAGGATTTGACCAGCAGGTCTTCCACTTTTCAAGTAAAAATCTTTAAACAACATTACCCTGACTGACTGAAAGGGAAAAAAGCTAGAGACTGTTTGGCTTTTAAAAAGAAACAGTTCAAGAATCCTGTTGGTATGCTTACTCTTGTCAGCACTGCATTCATAGCTCACTTTTTACTTAATCTGCACAGTCAGCACCCACACAGGTCCAGAAAAGCCAAACACAATTCTTTGCCCTCACCAGGAATGTAGAAAGCAAGGCCACAAAATTCAAACAAGACATCAGAGAGCTTCTTTAGCTCACAAAATAGGTTATTTACTCGTACAACCACCTAGCACAACATAACACTGCTAACAATACATTACCTTCAACTTACCAAGCAAGAGATTTTTGGGTGCTCTGACAAAATTAGACAGCCATTTTTTAAAAAAATAGGTTTCTTAAGAGATAAAAACAGGTTTCTTAAGAGATGGGCATGCTTACAATACATGAAGTTACAACTCACATATCTCTATGCAGACATCTGTACTAAAACTCTTCATACATACCTTTGTCCATACTCAATAATTTCGTCGTTAGTATGGTTTATCAACAGAAATGGAGCTGCGCCATCATGGTAATCAGAAAAGGTAATCACTGTAGAATGTTCAGTCAGGTTAACATCCACTGTAATTCCTCCAAGCTATCAGTTGTAAAAATTACTAGGTAAGTAACAATGGAATGGATTTCCAGCAAACCAAATGTAATTTAAATGTTTTGAAAAACTTTTACTCTCGTAAGATAAAACCATCAAATAGTAAAACAAACAAGCCATTTTACCTTATCTTCAAAATATTTCCTTGATCTAACTACTAGTTAACAATTATTTCACTTAGTAAGCAAAACTGCACAAGTTCCGTACTGTGAAAATTCAGGCTAGTAGTAGAGGAACCTTCCTTATAGAATCATATGCATTAATGCCCTCAAAAACATTCTACTACTAAAATCACTCACATATTTAAAAACTACTACTAGATGAGACTACCTGCAACATAAAAGTAAATTTAGTGGAGTCAGTTACTTTTCAGAGTAACTTATACAATACTTCTAGAGTGACAATACTTGCAAAACAATCTGTGTTTCAGCTTCTATAGAACTGCTTCCCAGAGAAGCACTTAAACAGAATACCTATTTATATCTGTGTGTACACACACAGGAAAGAGAGCATAAGAATACATTTACGTAAACATAATCTTTTTCTCAGATAAGGTTTTGCAATACTTGATTGTATGGGAAAACAAAGTTTTGAGAATGGAAATGAAACAGTGATTTATACTGTTTTACCTAATTTGCAAAGGTAACCATTTTTACCTTGTTGTCTAAATGCAGTAGGAGACAGTTTTCTTGCTGATCAAAATTTATCTTCTTTGGGGGGAGATCAGAATTTTCAACTCTAACAAGCAGTTTGTTGGCATCATTTTCAGGCCAAAAAGGAATGCACTAGAAAAAAACCCAGGGTTTGTAGGTGTGGATAACCTTTTATCTGAGGGTGACTTTGTGTAATGGCATCATCTTTATTTAAAAGGGAAATGTGTTGGGTTGTAGATGTTGTGTCTGACGTGGTGTTGTTTGAAGTAGTGTTTAAGACGTCTTGCTATAAAGTGTACTTGCGTTCACACACACATACATGCGTCCACTCAACTTTCTCATTCATACTCCGGTGGCCACCGTTTCATTCTCTCCTTACACACGCACTCTTAAACCCTTATTGTGTTTGACTCATGGAGGTTTGGTTCTGTATTGGTTACTGTTTATATGTTTCTTTTGGTTTTGTATTGGTTACTGTTTATGTGTTTCTTTTGGTTCTGCATTGGTTACTGTTTATATGTTTCTTTTGGTTCTGTTGTATCATTTATTGCTTCTTTGTGATTATCCCTGTTTTAAGGAAATGTTAATGTAGATTTACACACATAGGGAACAGACCCATATCTCTTTCCCCCCTTTTTTTTTTTCTTTTTCCCCACTGTGTGATGTGTTTACTCTTGTTGGTCATGTTTCTTCTAATCCAAATCCTTCACTTATTTCTTCTGGTGGTTGTTCCTGTTGTGGTGGAGGGCTAATATAAGGCCTGACACATCTAGAAGGGACCCATTGCAATTTGGTACCCTTGGATACACAGGCATATCCCCTTCCCCATGTTATGAGATCTACCGGTCCTGACCATTGCCCAGATATTAGATCTTTGATCATAACTGGTGGTTTGGAAGATGAAAGTATTTGAGTTTTATGTTGGCTTTCATACCTGCTATGGTCTGTATCATCACAGTTTAAGAAATTTAGAACATATGACGCTTTCCACAAGCGTTCCTGGGGGCTATATACCGACTCCCCTCTTTTTTGTCTTTGAAGCATTTCTTTTAGTGTACGGTGAGCTCTTTCTACAATCGCTTGTCCTGTGGGTGAGTGCGGTATACCTATGGAATGGAGTACCCCCCAATCTGTGAGAAATGTTTTGATTTTTTCAGAACAATAAGCAGGGCCATTGTCAGTTTTTATGGTTTTTGGAATTCCTAGGATTGCAAAACAACTGAGCCAGTGTCTGATAACGTCTTTGGCTTTTTCTCCCGTGTGTGCTGTTGCATTAATGTATCTGGAATGTGTGTCTACTGTAACATGGACATATTTTAGTTTACCGAATTCAGCTATATGTGTAACGTCTGTCTGCCAGATTTCATTGGCTGTTATGCCTCTGGGATTAACCCCTTCCTTAGCTGGCATTGGGGTAATTCGCTGGCAGTCAGAGCATGACATAATTATGTCTCTGGCCTGGTTTATTGTAATTTGGAATTGTCTCTTTAATGAACGTGCATTTTGGTGGAAGAACTGGTGTGAGAGTTTAGCCTGTTCCAGAATTTTGGGAACTGTAGTTACCATAGCAGTTGCATCAGCTTTTTGATTGCCCTCTGCTATGGGTCCTGGAAGTTCTGTGTGTGACCGAGTGTGCATTATGTAAAAATCAAATTTTCTGTGGTTGATAAGAAACCATATGGTACGAATTTCTGTGAATAAGTGAGGATTAGTGACATCTCGAAGGAAGGAGGCTTCGAGATGTGAGACCAACCCTGCTGCATAGTGAGAATCTGTGACAACATTCATAGGTTGATCATGGAACAATTCAAATGCCATGCGGATAGCTGCTAGTTCTAAAACCTGTACAGAACCTTGGTCCAAGGTTTGTACCTTATTGTCCCATTGTCCTGTGGCAGGGTTCTTCCATGTCACGACGGCTTTTTTCGATCGTCTAGACGCGTCAGTGAAGACTGTGATTCCATTTACTGGTCGTAGTTTGCAGCGACGCGTGGCCATCAGGGGTAGATTTCCTATTTCTGCCCAGAGTTTATGTTTTGGGAAGCGAATGGAAATATTACCGTGGAAGTCCGCTAATGCAGTCTGAAACCCAGCATCCTCTGCAAGAAGCCAGTCTAAGTTGTCTTTTGTGGCTGGAATGTAGATCGTCTCAGGATCCCTTCCATCCATCTCCTGCAGACGTCCTCTACCCTTCATGATGAGCTTAGCAAGCATGTCATTAATGGTCCAAACAGTCTTAGGTGGAGAGTGGGGAAGAAATAACCATTCTAGAATTCTCAAAGGGTCGGATTCTGCCTGATCCCATTGGAAAAGGACAGCAAAAGGTTGGAACTTGCTGGATATGATGGCGAGGCGAATGTGCAGGTCAGGGTGTCGTCGTCTGCTTTGCCTGTTTTCAACAGCTTGGGAGCATACTTCCAGAGCTTGTCTTGCTTCTGGGGTTAGGGATCGAATAGATGTGAGAGTTGGGTCACCTTTAAGTAGCTCGAAGAGGGGGTGCAATTCCTCTGTTGTGATCCCCAAGACAGGCCTCAGCCAGTTAATGGCTCCTAAAAGCCATTGCAAATCATTCAGGGTCATAGTGTCCGTTACTTTGAAAGTCAGTGGTTGTGGCATGATTTCCTGTTGAGTGATCCTCCATCCGAGGTAGGTCCAAGGTTGGGTGCGTTGAATTTTTTCTGGGGCAAGCTGCAGACCTGCTTTTTGGATGGCGTCAGTTAAGGCAGTCAAGGTGGATTGTAGTTCGGTCCCGTGTTTTGCTGCTATCAGGATGTCATCTATGTAATGATAGATGATGGCTGAAGGGTGGAGTTTTCGAACAGGGTGTATGATGTTGGCTACCACTGTTTGACAAATCATCGGGCTGTTTTTCATGCCCTGAGGCAGTACTGTCCAGTGGTATCTTTGCATGTTTGTATTTTGAGTGGATTTAGAGGTGTGTATTGTTGTATGTTGCAACTTTGTGGAGCATCTTTGGGCTTGTGTTGTATGAGGGTTTTGTTTGTTTTACTTTCTCAAGGCTCTTGCAGTGACTGTGTATAAAGAGTTATGTGTTTCTGCAGTTGAAATTGTAACTGGTTGTCTGTTTGCTACTTGTTTAAGTTTGGCTTTCCATGTTGTGTATGGCATATTGTCCAACAGCATTTTAAAATAGTGAGAAGTAAATACTTGATTTGGGGCCCCTCTTATTATTATTCTTACCCCCTGGAACACAAAAGAACTTTTTATAATAGCAGATAATCTGTCAATTAGTAAAGTTGTCCTTTTGTGACTTAGAAAATTAAACATGGTAGTTGATAGCTGTATGTCTGCTGTGTTTTGCAATGTTACCTCTAGGTTGTTGGTTCTGTCAGGAGGTGGATGGTGTTGTTCCAGCTGAAATTCTCGCAGTACAAAACCAACAGCTGTAATCGCCAGCAACGCAGTCAGTACATGTGCTGTCCACTTCAACGTCGGTAGCTTTGACTTTGCTGATGGTCTGGGCTTGGGTAGGCAGATGTTCTGTGTGCTTTCCCAGTCTGCATCTTCTTCCTCGAGCTGAAATAGTAGCTGTAGCCATGTTTGCTGTTCTTCCTCTTTTGCAGGATTCAAAACTGCTTGTCCTTTTTCTGGTTCTCTTGTCTCGCTGAGTTCAGTTTGCCACAGCTCAGCTAAACTTTCTAGGGAGTCAATATCTCTTCTTCCTCCTCCATCAGGCCATCTTCGGCATAGAAGCTGTTCTGAGGCTGGTGAGGGCTGTGGGTTGGTTTCTGGGTAGGAGAGCCACAGTGATGCTTTAACTGTTGTGCATTTGTTGTGAGTTGGTTGAACTGGTGGTGACGGAAGAGGCACTTTCACTTCCGCCTCACGGTCAGAGTAAGCTTGCTGTGTCCATGTTGCTGCGTGGTTGTTCTGCAGTGGTCTCATGGCTGCTGCGCAGCCAAAGGGTGTTAGTGGACCGCCCTGGCTAAAGGGAGCTAGGAGATTCTCTTCTGTGTCCTCTATAGACTCGCTGTCCATTTGTCCATCATAGTCATTCTCCCCCCTTCCCGGCGAAACACTTGAACCTGGGGGAGGCGGCCTCACTTCCGCTGCGCGGGAGGGGCAACATGGCGGTGCCTCCGGTGCCACTCTCCTTCTGCACGTTGACTGTGCAACTGCTGTGTAACGGTCGCCCCGTAACGGTCCAGGGGTAGGCGCTGCTCTGTAACGGTCCCCGGCTCCAGCAGCACCACTTGCTGCTCTGTATGGCATGGTCTCAACTGCAGCCATGGGCGCTGGCATAAAGCCAGCATCGCCCCCCGCTGCCATGCTCATGCTGCCAGCCCCCAGGCCATGCTCCTCCACACCACACGCTGCCACTGCACTGTTCCCCCCAAGGGCTCCTCCTCCCCCCCATCCCCCCTGACCAACGTGCATTCTCCCCCTGCCCCACTCGGTCGAAGGGGGGGCTGGGGTTGAAGGGGGGGGGTTGAGGGGAAAAGAGTGAGGGGGGGGGAAGTCCACTCTCCCGGGTGCATTTGCCTTTCTGTAGTGCTTATTCAAGGCTATCATAATGTCCTTCCATGTAGCCAAATTCTTGAGGGCGTCTGTTTTTCCCTCACTGGCTTTTTCAATAATTTTGTTCCCTATTTTCCTCCAAGATGACACTTGACAAGGTCCAGTCAGAGGTAGTGCAGGTTCATGCAACGAAATCCAATATAACAAGTCCCATAACTTACTTTCTTCTATGGTTATACTCTGTTCTTGTAAAAGTTGAGAGATAGCTTCAGCTGTTTGTTTGATTTTTGGAGTATTTCCCTCCTGACGGGTAAACCACCCTCCCATATTCGCCAATTTTTGGTTACCTCTGTGCTGAAGCTCTGTTGTCCTTTCTTCTGGTCCTTTTTTCTTCCTTTTTTGTTCCTTTTTGCAGAGGTAATCCAGCGCGCTGAATTCTTTCTTTTCTTCCTTTTGGTTTTGGCGATATGGACACCCCCGGACAGGTTCCCCAGAGCTGCTGCTCCTGGTTGCCGGTAACCTGCTGAAGTCCCTTATCGGACGGCCATTTGAGGTGCTGTTCAAGGCACGAACCCCACTCAGACACGAACAGGTGCCAGAGCAGAATTACCGTTTATTCAAACTGCCAAGGTTTAAATACCACACCTGAACATGTCACGTGACCCTCTAACCAATGACAATCAAGTATTGTCTGAGAACCCGGGAGACCACAACTCCCATGGTTCATTGCTACATTCTTCCTGCCACAGTTGATTACATGTGATTCTGAGTGTTTTATGGTTGAAGGATTGTTGTGATTCTTAAATATAGAGGGAAGGAAGAACTAACAGAAGAAATAGGAAAATAGGAAATAGAATAGGAGTTCTG